ATAAAATTTTAGAATAAATAAACACATTTTAAGGGAGTAAAAGGGGAAAGGAGATTAACACCTTTCAGCATGCATTTCCTGCTTTTTCCAGCAGTGATATTGCTAATTCTCTTGAAGGAAATTCACCGTTTAATGAGAGAAAGTTGATGAAAATTATGTAAACCCACATCATTAAGCAAAACTGAAATACTAATATAAAGTATATATATATATATATATATATATATATATATATATATATATATATATATATATTATATTATATTGTTTTTACTCCCTTCAAATCTGGGAGGGTGGAACCCCAGCTCCAGCTATGGACGAGCCCCCAGGGGGCCCAACTTGACATTTCTTCATGGGGCCCAAAATCTCTGGCAGCCCCCCTGTATCTGTCTGAGGTGTTTTTTGCAGAGCAAAGCTGTCCTCCTGGTGGAGGGTAACTCTGAAGTGCCTTTTTTTTCCCTCCACCTGAACCAATCCTCATGTAACCCTCTGATCTCTATTAAGGTAGCGTGACTCAGGGTTGTGAATGACCACAGTCACCAATTCTTGTCATGTGTCTTGCCAATGTATGTCTGATCTCTGAATTGTGTGTACTGAAACTCTAATTTCCCTCTGGGATTAATAAAGTATCTTTGATTGATTTGATTGATTGATTCCAGTTTAAACCTGACACTCCACTAATTTGATTATTAATGAAACACATTATCGTGGTAAGAGACCTGAATGAGTGAAATAAAGTAGCTAAAGCCAACAGAGCAGTGCTGGATCAGAATTTGTCTCATCTCCACACGGTCTTGTCCAAACGGAGATATCCTGCACAAGATAGGTTTTATTGTCCAAAGACCAACAGCACCTCTTACAGGTGCTGAGCATACATTTAACTATCATAACCCTAACTATAAATTAGAGCATGCCGATCTGCACATGGGCACGAGGTTTTAACTATGTTCCCTGAAATGTAGCCTCCATGTTGCATCCGTTCTTGTTTCAGGAGCAGCGCTTGAGTTTGAGTCTCGCTCCTCACGCTCCTGCTGGGATGAATCAAACCGATTCAGTAAGAGAAACGTGTGAATTTCCACCAAAGTGATTCAATTGGAGGAGCACTGAAATTCTAAGAAATACAGTTCTATATGAAATAAGGAAAATGACTTTTTTCACCCTTATGCACTCACCTAAAGGATTATTAGGAACGCCTGTTCAACTTCTCTTTAATGCATGTAGGGGTGTGGTCCTGGTCAAGACCATCTCCTGAACTCCAAACTGAACGTCAGAATGGGAAAGAAAGGTGATTTAAGCTATTTTGAGAGTGGCATGGTTGTTGGTGCCAGACGGGCCGGTCTGAGTATTTCACAATCTGCTCAGCTACTGGGATTTTCACCCACAACCATTTCTAGGGTTTACAAAGAATGGTGTGAAAAGGGAAAAACATCCAGTATGCAGCAGTCCTGTGGGCCACAATGCCTTGTTGATGCTAGAGGAGAATGGGCCGACTGATTCAAGCTAGAAGAGCAACTTTGACTGAAATAACCACTCGTTACAACCGAGGAATGCAGCAAAGCGTTTGTGAAGCCACAACACGCACAACCTTGAGGCTACAGCAGCAGAAGACCCCACCGGGTACCACTCATCTCCACTACAAACAGGAACAAGAGGCTACAGTTTGTACCAGCTCACAAACAGTGGAGAGTTGAAGACTGGAAAAATGCTGCCTGGTCTGATGAGTCTGGAGTTCTGTTGAGACATTCAAATGGTAGGGTTAGGCATAAACAGAATAACATGGATCCATCATGTCTTGTTACCACTGTGCAGGCTGGTGGTGGTGGTGTCATGGTGTGGGAGATGCTTTCTTGGCACACTTTAGGCCCCTTAGTGCCAAATGGGCATGGTTTAAATGCCACGGGCTACCTGAGCATTGTTTCTGACCACGTCCATCCCTTCATGACCACCATGTACCCATCCTCTGATGGCTACTTCCAGCAGGACAATGCACCATGTCATAAAGCTCCAGTCATTTCAAATTGGTTTTTGAACATGACGATGAGGTCGCTGTACTACAACGTTCCCCACAGTCACTAGACTTGAATCTGCACCGAAGGGCCTTGAGTGTCTGTTATTGCTTGTTTTTGTCTTCTTAAACTTTTGCTTTGCACTATCTTCCACTGGGAAAGCGAAGGAAATGCATCTGTGGGTAATCCTGTTATCTAGTAGCTCCGGTTGGGGCCAGCTGAAAACAATAAGTGCAATCAGGCGCTGTGAACGAGCTGTTTCTCCCCTCCCTGAATACACTCATCAGGTGCTCTAGGTCTCAACCATTGCAATCAGCTGCTGCATGAACACCTGTTTCCAGCTAGTAGCACAGCCCAAGTTTGGTGGCATAACTGAAGCGTCAGTCCTTGTGTCTCAGCCCCTCCGGTGTGAAGACATACGTGTCTACCTGCACGTGTCCACAGAGCAAACAAACTCTACCCAGACGCTGCTTCATCGACACCTTGCAAAATGTGCCATTATCCCATACCTGTGATCACTGGCTTCAGATGCAGATAACAAGAGTTTGTTTGGGTCAGGCTGAGATAATTTTCCTCTCTGCCTTCAGTCTTTAAACTGATCATTTCCAGTCCTTCAGTGAAGCCAATTTGGGGTTTTTAAACCTGTCCACACCGTCTGGTGACTCTCTCCCAGATGACATCCATTTTGCGCACTAATACCGGTATCGCAGCTAGAACATTGTCCAGCTTACGATTCACCTCGAGTAACGTCCCAGTCTGTGAGGTCTCCACACGGACGGTGCTTTCCGTGGGTGCGGGTCGCCCTCCAATCGCTCCCGTCTTCCCAAATTTCCAGAAAACCAGATATCCTCCCACTCCAATCAGGAGAAATCCAGTGATCATCAGACCAAATATCCACACGTCTTCGATGTCATCAATGGACAGCTGGTTGAGGCATATGATCTTCCACTCCCTCCAGGAATCCAGTATATACCCCACCGGGTGCGTCCCCTGTGGACATGTGGGAGGCCCCTGCTCCGTTCTCATTGTTGAAAAAATGTTATCGATCGCATTGAATGACCAGTTTATCAAATCCGTGGTCAGTAAAAAATTGACATTTTCAGAAGAAATGCAGAGAAGCGCTCTGTGGGCAGACAGGACAAAGAGCCTTGGGGAGAAAAGATAAGGGAGCGAAAGAGGGAAGCGTCTGTACTCCCCGGGTGCCTGAAGAGAAGATGTCGAGATGTTAACTTCTGTGGACAGCCTGGACCTCTCTGTAAGATGGTTGCACTTCCATTGTTCCTAAGGTTTTGACACTGAATGACATTTCATTAACCCCTCAAAGGATCATTTTAGCAGATACTGGCTGAAGAAAATGATTTTAAACCATGAAAAAGTTACGTGATGTCCCTTTAAAGAACACCTGTGTGTGTGTGTGTGTGTGTGTGTGTGTGTGTGTGTGTGTGTGTTATACAATGGCAAATAACTTCAAATGAATTAGTACAATTAAGTTTGAATCTGTGAAGTTTTGTGCATGAGCAGCTTTCGAGTTGTGCTGAATTGGGACTCTCGTGTGTTCTGCTGCCATCTAGTGGACATAAAACACAACACCCCACATTGTTGCCAGTTAAAAAAACATTTCAGTGAGTGGCTAAATACTAGTGATGGAAATTCCAGCTCTTTTTAGAGAGTCGGTTCTTTTGGCTCAGCTCACCAAAAAGAGCCGGCTCTTTTGGCTCCCAAGTGGCTCTTCAGATTTTCTGTTGCGTTGAGTACATTTATAACCAAAATAATGCAAAACTATATGTAAAATGATTTATTAATCTAAAAAAATGCTATATATCAAATATTTATCATTTCTATTGATTTAATAACTGAACACTTTCAGAAATCTCCACTTTCCGACTGCTGGCGCTTATTTTCTCACCGTCTTCGTCACACTCTCCTCTCTCGCTCGCCTTTTTCCTCCTCCTCATTCCCTCTCGTCTCCCTCCACCTGCATGTGCTCTGCTGTGTGTCTGAGTCTGATCCTCCCTCTTCCCCGCCCCTACTGCTCTGTGTGTGGACAGTCTGGACACGCAGTTACACATGCTGACCAATCGCCTGTGGCTTTCACCAAAGCAAAAGGGGAGGGGGAAGGGGAGGGGACGGCTCCCAATGACGAGCCGGCTCCTGTCGTTCACTTCAAAGAGCCGGCTCTTAGAGCCGGTTCGTTCGCGACCGACACATCACTACTAAATACTAATAATGATCTGTACTTTCTCACCTTAATTATCATTAATTCTTCTTCTCTTTATTTTATTTTGGTTGTCACGTTAACAGGAAAAAGCTTTTAAACAACAAAGATAACATCATGAATCTCAACCAAAAAAGAAATAGGCAGAAACTGTGCTTATTTTAGCCAGCCCCAGGTATGCATGTGCTATATTATTAACCCTCTGATGCATGAATTATGAGATCTTCAACCAAGATTTTTTAAACACTTTTTTTCATTCATCTTTAGGTGTGAGTGAAACAAATTTCAACAAATATGTTTTGTAACATTGTGTTAATTTACAAATAATTTATTACATGTCCACCTCAGTGGACAGCGTGTATTCTGAACATGAAATATGTTGGCTTGACTTACTGAAGTCCAAATGGAGGGGCTCACATGCAATAAAGTCTTCAACAGCTGTGCTTCATAGCAAAAATAAATAAATAACAATTTTGAGCACCTGTCCACTGCAGTGACCATTATGCATCAAAGGGTTAATTTATTATATACAATTTAAATATATTTATTTAAAATAAATAAAACAAATCATTCATGTTTTACAAATACTTTTCACATTATGCTTTAAATTTTGATGTAGAAATAAATTTCTTCAAGTCATCATTGAGCTCATTCCATAATTTCACACCAATAACAGAAATGCACCTTGGTTTAACAGTTAAATGCTTCAAACGTGAATCTTTATGCTTTTATTGTGAAAGTGGGCTGGTGTGTTTCCTGACCAATGTGGTTGCCATGGGCAACAGAAACCCACAGTGCCCTACAGATCGATCAGACGTAAACAAAGGCGCTAGCTAATCTAACTTAAATCGTTTCGTATCATAGTTGCTCTGTTGTGTTTTACCAGCAGTAAAAATGCAGGCTGGTAAAAAGGGTTCGGCTAAAAAGCCGAGGGCCACCCCTGGGACTCCGGCTGGAAACAAGACCTTTGAGGCGGAGCTCATCAAAGCTCAGTTCCACGAGGTTTGTGAAGTTCCGAACTTATCCGTTTGATCTTTTTTAACACCGATATTCCTGTCCCTCTCAAATGGCTTCTGTTAGCTAAAAAAATTAAACAAAAAAAATTAGTAAAAGAGAAGAATTAAAGCTACACAGAGGAATTGGTAGTATTTCATTTAGAACGTTCAAACGCGCAAACCGGAAGTGTATCATTAATTGCGCAGTTTCTAATTATCGCCATTTTTAAATGGGAAATAATCGATGTAAATAAATTTTAACCAGTTTTAGGTCGATTTATTACACGAACTCCGGCCAGACCTTCTTATATTAACTTTGATGGAAGCAGATGCTAAGTAGCGTTAGTCATTGTTTAATTGAGCTGCTCGTGACCAGGACTCGTGGCAGGCCTGCGTGTCTCTGCTAGTCGGGAGGAGTCCAGAGGAAGAGAAGCAGCTCGTCAGCCCCCTGGCTAGAGCCGTGCTCAAGCCACAACGGAAACTTTTCACCATTCTATCCCGGGACAACGTTCTCCTGAAGGTATCATTTGATCTGTTAGTGAAAAAAAAAAATTAAAAACAAAAAATAATTCAAAACAAGATAATGAAACTCATAGATCTGCTTTGTGTGTTTTAGCAAATTTATTAGCAATTCATTACCATAAAATAGTCATTTTTGTTTTGTAAGTACAAAGTTGTTGTCTAAAATAAATTAACACACACTCAAATCACAGTTTAATTTAATCATAATTTAGTATAAACATATTTGTAAAATGGGGTTTTTCTTTATTATCTGTTAATAAACCTTTTATTTACAGATTTGTGAACTGGGAAATCCTAGAGCAAAGAAATCCGATCATCTTCCCATGTTCTACGAGGTAGGGATGTGTGGGATCTGTGAGGACTTCTACCTACAGTGTGTGGTTTGCTGATGTCGGCGTCTTGAGTAGATCACTGAGGCTGCTAAAGCGTTGCTGGATGCAGGAGAGGAGATTCCTTGTGACCTGATGACTAAAGTACTGAAGTTCATGCTGCTGCAGATCAAAGCCAGCGACAAGCACAGGAGAGAGGGAGAGCAGGTGAGTGGTGCTGCAGCTAATGTTTACTTCTCGTGGTTTATGCATGATGGCTCACAGCAAGAAGGTTGCAGGTTCAAATCTGGCTGCAGCTTTTCTGCATGTAATTAGGGTATTCTCCTGATGCATGCATGGACTTCCCCCACTAACCAAAACCAGACATGTTAGATTTATTGGAGACTCTAAAGTTGTTCCTGTGTGTGAGTGAGTGTCGCTGGTTTGTTTTTGTGTCCCTGTGATGGACTGGTGACCCCCCAAAGTGTTTCTGTCACTGGCCTGCTGGGGTTAGGCAGCGGCTCCCTCCACTACCGCTGTTTTGTATTTTCCGTACATTTCAGCTCAAGACAGAGGGACGTGAAGAAAAGGTTGTCCCTCCCTCTGACAACAAGGCCAAAGGTTCAAACAGGAAGCCGAAGGGATCTTCCTCAGCTGTGGAAGGTTCCAAGCAGAAGAAAACCGGACTCAAACGTAGGGATGATGTGGACCCACCCACATTCATAGGTAATAATGTAGTGTTGTTTATGGTTGTTATGGTCGGCTGTTTCACAAAGTAGCACGAATCGACAAGAATTACTTTTCCACGCTTTATTCAAACGTGCGTCACATGTACCAGTATCAGGCATCCATCTTAACCCCAAAATTCCACTATCTCCGCTCCGCTCCGGCACGAACTCCGCAGCAAAAACGGTCCCGTTGTAGTCAATCAGAGCTGTTCCACTACTGCGGCCGTGCCGCGCAGTGCCCGCCATCCGGCAAAAATAGGATCGATTCGATTTTTGCCAGACGCCGGAGCACTTCCGCAGTCAATGGACAGAAACCACAACCGCCCAACAGGAAAGGGAGCAAGCACAGCTTCCGTTATTTCACAATAAATCGATAAACAAAAAGCGTTTTTTGTTTCATATGCACAGGTTTAACAACTTTTAACAACTATCAATGGCTGTTGAAGTTTAAATGCACAAAAGTAAGCCATAAATACAGTTTCCACTATCAAAGTAGTCACACGTTGTTGATCCAAACACTGCTGATCTCTCAACACAAATGATGGTCAGATTAAACAGTTCATGCCGATGCTTCTCCCACACAACGGGTGTTTGGATCTAACTTCCGCGTTTATTGCTCGGACTGTATCGCAAGATCTCGAAAATCCCGCGCATGCTTGTTTGCCCACCTCAGGTCTCCGCACCGGAGCGGAGCCGTTGTAGAGCGGGTACCAGTAAAAATTGAGTTCGGAAGCGAGCGGCTGCGGGGGCGGAGCGGAGATAGTGGAATTTTGGGGTAACTCCCTCACTCCTTCTTCTCTTGTCCTCTACTGCCCGTCAGTGGTTGTTACAACAACGGTAAAGTAGATTTCCATCCATCCACAGGGGAGCTGGCGCTAGGGCTGCTCGATTATGGCAAAAATAATAATCACGATTATGGTGACTGAAATTGAGATCACGATTATTTAGGACGATTTTTCTATTTATGTTGATTTTATTTGTTTTTATTCAGTCATAAAACTGCTCAGGGCACAATCAGGACAAAAATAAATAAGAAACAAGATGATCACTAAAAGAACTCCTGATTCCCAGTATAAAAAGACCCAATATACTTATAGCTCATAGTTTATGACCCAAGGGCTGTAGACCTTGGTTTTACTCATGTAAGTCTAACCAGTACAGACCCAAATACCAATATCTTGCAAATACTGACAGCAAGAATTATACAGTGGCATTTATAACAAATAAACGCAAATAAATTGATGTTCACAAAATGTTGCATAACATTTATTGAGTCGTGTCAATGTGCTGTAGGAGCGTGCACTAGCACCGTGTGTCATGAGGTGGTGAAGTGATCTAACCCACGACATACAGAATCAGATCGGAGACGGTTTTAAAAGGTTTAAATAAGGATTTATTGAAGGGAAACCAAGGGAGCAGCGTAACGAAGCTGAGTTCTTGCGCAGGGAGGCTGGTGCGGGAAAACTGTGGACAGATCGGAGTTAGATCCAATTTGCGGAAGGATCAGGAAATCAGACTTGTGCAGAGGACTTACGGTCTGGAGAGGTGGGAACTGGTTTGAGGGAGGAGTGGTCCGGTCTGGGTAGCAGGGACTGAGATCCAGGAGTGAGACGTGGAGGGAGCTGAGCTTGGGGAGGTCCAGGAGGGTTAGGTGGGCAGCTGGAGGTGGTTCTGGCCAGGGGAGAGGCTGAGAGACGAGCGGGGTTGGAGCTTCAGATGATGCGGGCTCCAGAGTTCTGCCAGTCGAAGATGAGTGTGGAGGTTTTGTCTGGAGACAAAGCAGGAGGTCAAAAGGTAAAAATCCAATATCTAAAAACACATCTAGTTCTCAAAAAGTTAAGAGCTCGAATAAGTCACACGAGTGGCTGTTAGAAGGTACCCAGGTAGAGTAATCATCCAGCGAAGTGTAGGAGTCTCCCAGCTGCTTAAATACCCCTGGCCAGCTGATGAGCAGATCTGCTGCAGCTTGGTCACCTCCAGACACGCCCACCTGCAGAGGGAAACTCAAAAGACAGGGAGTGACAGCAGGGAAATACCTCAGACCGTGACAGTACCCCCCCCTCAAGGGACGCCACCCGGCGGCCGAGCAGAGGAGGAGGAGGAGGAGGAGCGGGCCAACTCGAAATCCCGGATGAGAGAGGGGTCATCGATCCATGACCGCGGGACCCACTGTCGATGTTCCGGGCCATAACCCTCCCACTCGACCAGGTACTGGAAACCCCGGCCACGAGGTCGCACATCCAGAAGGCGCTGGACACGGTAACCGAGGCCCCCGTCAGCGAGACGCACAGGAGGCGGAGGGTCGACAGGAGGGCACAGGGAACTGGAGATGACAGGCTTAAGAAGGGAGACATGAAAAACGGGGTGTATCTTCATGTGGGACGGCAGATCCAAGCGGACGGAGGACGGGTTGATGACAGCTGAAATCGTGTAGGGACCGATGAATGTGGGGGAAAGTTTTTTGCAGTGGTCCTTCAATCTGATGTCCCTGGTGGAGAGCCAGACGCGCTGTCCAGGCGCATAGTCTGGGGCAGGACGCCGGTGCCGGTCGGCCAGACGCCGGTTGCGTTCTGCAGTCCTCTGTAGGGCCTGTTGCGTGGCCGCCCAAACCCGCCGGGCCCCCTTCAGGAACTGAGGAACGGAGGAAACTGTGGAGGGAAATTCAGAAGGGAACAAACCGGGTTGAATACCTGTCGAGGCCTCGAAGGGGGATAGTCCGGTGGCGGAGGAGACATGGGCGTTATGGGCGTATTCGATCCATGGAAGGTGGGTACTCCAACTGGAAGGGCTAGAGGAACACAGACAACGGAGCATGGCTTCTACCTCCTGGTTTAGTCTCTCGCATTGGCCATTTGACTGCGGATGAAACCCAGACGTTAGCGCCACCTTAGCTCCTAAGCAGGTGGCAAAGTCCCTCCACACCCTTGAGACAAACTGCGGGCCGCGATCTGAGAGTATCTCCGCAGGGATGCCATGGAGCCTAAAAACATGCTTAACAAGCAGAGTGGCGGTGTCAGCAGCAGAGGGTAGAGCCTTTAGCGGCACTAGGTGGCAAGCCTTGGAAAAACGATCGATAATGGTCAAAATAACAGTAAAGCCTCGAGAAGGGGGAAGACCGGTGACAAAGTCTAGTGCAATGTGGGACCAGGGCCTGGAGGGAATGGGTAGCGGATTTAATAGTCCAAAAGGGGGTTGGTTACTTCCCTTATTGCGGGCACAGGTTTGGCAGGCGGAAACGTACTCCTTGACATCCTTAAACATAGTGGGCCACCAGAAAGTCCTCCGGATTAAGGCTACGGTACGACTGACACCAGGGTGGGCAGAGAATTTGGCGGTGTGGCCCCAGGTAATCACCTTATGCCTGACGGAAGGAGGAACAAACAGGGTGCGGTTGGGTACCTGATTGGGACAGGGGTAGTTCCTTTGAGCCTCGAGCACCTGATCCCGTATCTCCCAGGTAACGGCTCCCATGACACAATCGGGGGGTATGATGGTAGTAGGCTCGGGATCTGAATTCACCGAGAACTGTCGTGAGAGGGCGTCGGGCTTGACGTTCTTGTTGCCAGGTCTATAAGAAATGATAAAGTGAAAACGAGAGAAGAACAAGGCCCACCTGGACTGACGTGGGTTGAGTCTCTTAGCTTCCTTGAGGTAGGAGAGATTTTTGTGATCCGTCCATATCACAATGGGGTGCTCAGCTCCCTCCAGCCAGTGCCTCCATTCCTCCAAGGCGAGTTTTACGGCCAGGAGCTCACGATCTCCCACATCGTAGTTCCTCTCTGCGGGTGAGAGGCGCCGCGAGAAGAAGGCGCAGGGATGGAGGCGGTGATCTGTGGGGGAGGTTTGAGATAGAACAGCCCCGACTCCCGTATCCGAGGCGTCAACCTCGAGTGTGAATTGCTTTGCAGGGTCTGGACGGGTGAGAATAGGTGCCTGAATGAATCTCTCCTTTAACTCACAAAAACTTCTGGAGGCTTCAGCGTTCCAAAAGAAAGGCCTCTTTACCGAGGTCAGTTGTGTCAAAGGGGCGGCTATCTGGCTGTACCCCTTAATAAACCGACGATAAAAATTAGCGAAACCCAAAAATCTCTGCAGCTGTTTGCGTGTGGAAGGAGTGGGCCAGTCCTTTACTGCCTGTACCTTTTCGGGGTCGGGTCCCAGCCTTCCACTCTCCAGTACGAAACCTAGGAACTTAACAGATGGGACATGGAATTCGCATTTCTCCGCCTTAACGTAGAGCCGATTTTCGAGCAGGCGTTGGAGAATGGCACGGACATGACCAGTGTGTTCCTCGGGGGTCCTCGAAAAAATCAAAATGTCGTCAAGATATACCGTGACGAATTTGTTCAGGTAGTCGCTCAAAACTGTGTTTACCAGGTTCTGAAAAACGGCGGGTGCGTTCGTGAGGCCAAAAGGCATGACTAAATACTCAAAATGTCCTATTGGTGTTTTGAAAGCCGTCTTCCACTCATCTCCCTCTCTGATGCGAACCAGATGGTAAGCATTTCTGAGATCTAACTTGGTGAATATGGTAGCGTCTTGTATGGGTTCAAATGTGGATGACAGTAAGGGTAGTGGATACTTGTTTCTTATGGTGATTTGGTTTAAGCCACGGTAGTCTATGCAAGGTCTCAGGGTGCCGTCCTTCTTGGAGACGAAGAAGAAGCCGGCACCCAGAGGAGAGGTGGAAGGCCGAATTATGCCGGATGCCAGGGACTCGGAGATGTACTGTTCCATACTTTCCCGTTCAGGTTTGGAGATGCTGTAGAGACGGCTAGAGGGAAGAGGTGCTGCGGGGAGAAGATCTATGGCACAATCATAAGGGCGGTGAGGCGGTAGGGAGGATGCTTTGTGTTTAGAAAATACCTGCTGGAGGTCATGATATTCAGGAGGGACCCCGGTGAGGTCGGGGGGTGTGATTTTCAGGGCTCGAGGCTCGGAACTAGGTCGGGCAGGTCCCAGACAGGTTGAATGACACTTGTTGCTCCACCTGGTTTG